CATTACTATTCTACTAACACATATCATTATTTACTAAGGTTAAATGAGTGAGCAAGTAGTTTTTATGATTTCTTATATAATGGACAAGAAGTTTTAAATTATTCCAAGAGAAGTCTGTCTTTAAAGAACATTTCAAAATAACCCTTCTGAAATTCAAAAATGTTAATGCTCTTTTTACTTTGTATAGAGTAATGGGGAAAAAAGCCCAAATTCAAACCAATTAGTGGAGTCTACTTTTAATAAAACTTCTTTTTTTTTAAATCACATTTTTGCTTTTTACTGTGTTGTCTGATTACTTAACAAGAGGTAATTTTTCAGTTGGGAGCTTTGGAAAAATGTCACTGGAGATTTTTTTCAAGTTTAGATCAAATAATTCCTCAGTTCAATATCCTGCTAGAGCTTTGTAGACATTGTTTTTTCTTTTTTCTTTTATCAGATGACAAATGCCTCCTGATACAAGACTTTATGCCATACCAAGATTGCTATGTGAAGTCCCCAAGAAAGTTTCCCATGCATCAAAACATTGAAATGTTAGAACTTCCACAAAGCAAAGGACCTCTTGCTTCTCAGGTTAGTTGGCAGTAATAGGAAAGTTAAATAGGTGAAAACCAGGATGGAACTGATTAAAGAGCAGAAGATTAGCGGCAAAGAGAAAAAAAAAACAATCTTCCCATGTAAAGCAATCCCTTATTGTCAAATCATTGAAGGGATATGTGGATAGCTGAGGGTTTCTCTGGTACAGGCTTTGAGATAATATGGAAAGAAAGACCCGGACTAAATCAAATCTCTCCTGATGGCTTTTTGGTAATGACTGGGAGGTGCACAATTGCATCATGTGGTTTGAGAGCAGAAAAGTTGGTACTTTTACAAAGATGACTGCTTTATGTTGATCTGACATGCAGGATAGGCAGGGGAAAGGCACAGGCCAAATTAATCCCAGGACTTTTATAGGAATTATTGAGAAGTAGGCATTCTCTTTCCACGGATGATTCTAAGCTGGTAGAATATATAGGTATCCCCCAGTTTTCTGAAGTTTGTTTTATGCCACTTTGCTTTTATGAAAAACCTACATCAGTACCTGTTTTCACTAACAGAAATCCAAGGAGTATTTTTGCTTTTACAAAAAAAGGTGAAAAGCAAAAATAGCATTTAGTGCTTGTTTTGCAGCAGCCGTTAATAGGGCCAGCATGCACCCTGAGCAGCAGCTCCATCCCCAGAGCAACACTCTGAATCTCAGCAACAAGCCACCATGGCTTTAGCCTGTGTCTCTGAGCACCTGTGCTTTATCTTGATTTATTTTGTGCATCTGTTAGTTAGCAAGATGTGTCCTAACATATCAGAAGAGCCTAAGAAAGGTTATTTTGGAGGTCTGGGAATGCTCAAAAAATTTTCCACATAAATTAATGGTCATTGCTTCTTCACTTTATGCCATTTCAACTTACAAAAGGTTTCAGATAGTGGGGGAGATCTGTTACCTGAAATTGCAGAGTCTCCTTGTGGGGAAAGCACACAGGAAAATGAAGGTGACAAAGAGGAAAGCAGAGCTGAGAAACGGAGGGAGACTGCATCCTCATTTTAACCTGGGAGCCAGCCATGCCTGGAGATTTTTCATTTTCATGAGTCAATAAATTATTCTGTTGGCTTAAAGCAATATGAGTTAGAGTTTCTGGCACTTCACTTGAAATGATCCTAATTAAAATAAAATGTCCAGATGCAGAATTGCATTATCAAATTGCTTTCCCCAGAAGCCCCTATCAAGTACCCCATTACCGTCAAAGGTGTTTCAGTACTTCTTCCATTGCATTTTCAGAATTAAATGTTTCTTTGGTAGTCTTTGTTTGGTTTTTAAAAAACATTCATGTTGTGTGTTTATTTAATTACTAGTTAGGTTAAACTTTTTAAATTTAATAGAGTATAATTTTCTATTGTAAACTGTGTCATTTCCCTTATTCTCTTTCAAATTATCACCTATGGATTGGTTACAGTTATTTGCCATTTGCTATTTATGTGGCATATATGTTTCCCCTGGACTTTATACTTTTAAAGTAACATTTATACTTTTTCTGATTATAAAATATATTTGTGGCAGAAATTTGGAAAACACAGCAAAATACAAAAAATGAAAATAGAATTCACTTTTAATACCACTGTAACTTAATTATAATATACACTGGAGAAATTCCCTCTAACTTTATATGTGTTTAATATATTTACTAGAATATAAGTGTATGTGTGTACGTTTATAGCTTTTTGACTTGTTTTATCACTTAAGATTTGTATCACAGTAATTTCCCCCTTGTCATTACATAATTCTCTAAATAGGTCTTGGACCATTTTAGGAACCTGAGGAAAGTCATGGACTCAGTTTTCAGAAAGAAAAAAAAGTCTGTATACAGAGTGGTTGATATGTTATTTCAAGGAGAGTCTCAGATTTTTCCATGGGCTTCAGATGAAGAACTCCGGTTCGTGGTTCTAAGCGTGATCCACAGGCCCTGCCTAGCAGTCCCCTGATTAGTGCACTCCAATTTATTTAACCACATGGCATCTGGCTCAAGGGTAGAGACTTTGGGATCCCAAAGGTTGGGTTTGAATTCTAGCTTTATCCCTTAGGGAAGACATGGAAAATTTTTTTTTAAGCCTACTGTAAGGATTAAATGAGGTGGTCTACATAAAGGCTTAGAAGATTGTCTGGAATATAGTAAGTACTCACTGTAGCTCTCATTTTTAAAAAAATTACCTGATTGTTTCCCTATGATAAAAACTTAGAAACAGAATTACTGGATCAGAGAAGAGGCTCATCTTAGGGCTATGGAGGCAGCAAGAATGAAGTGGAGGCAGTCAAGGAGGTTAAGCGACCCAGGCCAGTTCACCAACTTGCCACACCTGGAGAATGAGCTGTTTCCTAATCCTGGGGTTGGCTCCTAAATAGTGAAGGAGATTAGAAAGGAGAGGTAAGAACATTTGCTTTCTTTACAGTGACAGTAACACATTAGCAGGAGAGAGAAAACATCTGCAGGCCCCAAGAAGCCCTCAGTACTGAAGGTTTAGCATGATCCTGCTGATTTACAAACCAGGTCCACCCCTTTCTATTTTACACTCTTCACCCATTGCACAAACTGCCTCCCAGATCCCTCCCCAAACCAAAAGAGGAGCTAGTTGGATGGGTTCATCTGCCCATAATTGCTGCTTATTTAATCTGATTGTGGATTTTAATATTCTGAACACAAGGAGGGGACAAATGGGAGTGGTGCCTGCAGAGCTGGCCTTCAGCTCGTCTCCTGCCACTGGTGTCCTTGGCCTGTCTCATCCTGTGGCTTCAAGGATGTAAAGGCTCAGTAGTACCTCCTCCAGGTCTGTTTCTCCACATGTCTTCCCTGAATATATTCCCTTAATGAAAGTATTTGGGTAGCATGTTTCATTGTATATCTAAATCTTTTTTGTGCTTACATAAGCCTAAATGAAAACTGAGAATATATTTGGTCACATTCCACTTTCTTCAAAGCTCTATAGATGTTACTGCATTATTTTCTTGGGTTTACTGTTTAGGGAAAATATGAGGGCATGTTTTCCTAAATGCTGGCAGAAGCTCTGCCTGCATGGGATTTATGATCTAATGGAGAATAAATAAATTATTTATTTGCAATTAAGAATGCAGTATGCTGTGAATTTAGTCTTATTTTTCATATTCTCTGTACTTTCATGAAATTTGGGTAGGAGAAAGTATAAACACACAAGCACAGTCCACCACTGGGAAACAAAAGTCACCCAGTGTCCTGTGGCATCAGAAAAGGGGGTAGGAACAAGTCCCCAGGTAGAAGCGACTCTAGGATCTTGGCTCCATGCAGACTGATTTTGAACTAAGACTTCAGTCTAGAAAGTCCTACCACTGGCTTTCACAGTTCAACTGGCTTATCACTTCATGTTCCTTCCAGACAGCCAGATGCCTTCTCCAATGCCTCTCGCTGCCTGCTTGCTAGGTAGAGGTCCCTTTCCTCTGTAGATGCATCTAGTGACTGACTTCAAGTTGTTGAGTCAACATTCCCAAGAACTCTGGGTTTGATGTGTTTGGAGATAATCCTGTCTGAAGCAGGGTATCTCATCACTTCATTTCTTTTCAGTCCTTTAATTCTAATGCCAGGACTACACTCATAACACCATAAATCAATGGCCTCTGAAATGTCCTCTCTCCATCTACCAATCACTTCCAAAATACACATTTTTCACGGAGCTTTTTCTTTGCAGAACTCTTCACTGCATTCTTTAACAGCACATCGCGGCGCACTTTCAGCCAGGTACTTGGAGGTTTGATTGATAAATCTATTCACTGTGCCTCAGATTTCTTATCTGTACTGAGGAGAGGTATCTGTCCCAGGGCTCTGCTGTGAGAATCAAATGAAGGCACACACACTGCACAAGACCTGGCTCAAAAACCGCCAGTATCATCGCTACTTTGTGTGCTTTAACTGGGAACACAAAAATCTTATTTAAAAACTGTTCGCAAATTAAAGCTAGACTTTGTGTCTTGCTACCAGAAAGCCTCTCCTAGTAAGTCAGGCACCCTTCTCAATGCTCAGGGTTGTAGGGTATTTGCAGTGTATACGGTTTTATGCATGCATGTGAAAGCTTCCCCCGCACACCCCCCGCCCTCTGTGTGTGTGTGTTTATGTGTGTCCGAGTCTCCAGATTTCATTATCAAAAAGGCAGTGCCCAGCAGCGAACTTGATCAGCAGCCAGGCACGGTTTTTCCTTCTTCTTGTCCTTTGTCAGGTCTTTGTTCCGCCCCTGGCTGCACTCTCAGAACCACTTACTGGTGATTCAAAGGAGGGGACTCGGCGACGGGGGCGGGCCTGCCGGTGCAGGGGCTCGGCGATTGGGTCCCCTTGGGCTGCGCGGTCTTAAGTGCGGGCGAGCGGGCGTCGGTCGCCCACCGCGCCCGGGGCCCACCTGCCGCGCCCAACGCCGCGGAGACGTCAGCTGCGCGCAGCCCAGACTTGGAACGTAGCCTCGTTTGGCCGCTGCGGACGGACAGACGGGCGGGCGGCGGCGGTCCCCGAAGGACGGAGAGAGGCGCGCGGTCGGACGGAATAGAAATCACAGCGCGGGACGAAGGTAGTCGCGCGGCCTCCCGCCGACAGCAACATGGACGGCACCGACAACGCCACCCTGCTCTTCGCCGCGTCCTCCCTGCAGCCGGACAACTACACCCTGTCGCCCAACGGCAGCAGCCTGAGCCCCGGCCCGGACTTCCCCGGCGCTCCTGCCTCCAGCGCCGGCCCCAGTCCCGCGCTCAGTCTCGGGCCGGGTCCCAGCGTCCGTTTCGGCCCCGGCCCCTCTCCGACCCCGGAGCCGACGGCCGGCCTGGGCCCTTACGCGGGGGGTCTGCCCTGGGCCCCCCACGAGACCCCGTTCTGGGACACGCCGCTGAACCACGGGCTGAACGTGTTCGTGGGCACCGCCCTGTGCATCACCATGCTGGGCTTGGGCTGCACGGTGGATGTGAACCACTTCGGGGAGCACGTCCGCCGGCCCGTGGGCGCGCTACTGGCGGCGCTCTGCCAGTTCGGCGTCCTGCCGCTGCTGGCCTTTCTGCTGGCCCTCGCCTTCTCGCTGAACGGGGTGGCCGCCGTGGCCGTGCTCCTGTGCGGCTGCTGTCCCGGCGGCAGTCTCTCCAACCTCATGTCCCTGCTGGTTGACGGCGACATGAACCTCAGGTACGGAGCGGTGTGTTGCTCAGGCATCTCCCTCGTCCCAGCCAACCGCCTTTGCAGCCGTGGGTTCAAGACGCGGGAGAGAGGAAGGAGAGGCGGTTGGAAGGAGGCATGGAAGAGGGAAGAGGAAAGTGGAAGATGTTGACGCCCGGGCTTTAGAAGTCGAGGCAGGCGTGAACAGGTAGTGCTGCGAAGGAAGATCTAGACCGGGACGGGGCTGCTCCAAGGGCCTGGGGTTTCGCCCGCCGCGCTCTCACCATCCGCCCTGAGTGCTGCGCTCCCAGCCCAGGCCCGTGCCCTTACAAGACAAAGGGAACTGGGATACCAGAAGCTGGGAAGTCGTCAGAAATGTGAAACAAAATAGGGCTTTGGGCCTCCAAAGAGAAAGTAATCCCATAGATAGGACAACCTAACTGAGTTCCATCCAACAAGTAGTATTTGGCAGCGTTCCAGTGCTTCTTAACAGGGTGCTTGAAGGGTTAAAAAAGAACCGAAAAGTGGTCCTTACCCTCAGAATCATCCAGACTATAGCAGCTCAATAGGCTTTAGAATCCCCCACCCCCCACAGCAGTCCTGAGTGTATTTTGTTACCCTGCTTAGACATGATGCTCCCTTGGCGCTGCCCAGGGAGGAAGTAGGTTTTCCCTAGACTTCAAGCTGGGAACGTACTCGCTCTTTCTTTCTTCTCTACCCAGTGTGCAGGAGAGGCCCATTGCGATTTCTGTTCACTCCCTTTTCTGCAGCATCATCATGACCATCTCCTCCACGCTTCTGGCCCTGGTGTTGATGCCCCTATGCCTGTGGGTCTACAGCCGCGCTTGGCTCAACGCCCCTCTGGTGCAATTACTACCCCTAGGGGCCGTGACCCTGACTCTCTGCAGCACTCTCATCCCCATTGGGTTAGGCGTCTTTATTCGGTACAAATACAACAGGGTGGCCGACTGCATTGTGAAGGTAAGGCCCCTCTTCCTTTTGCATATTCTACATATTCTTCCCTTTACATATTTTACATCCTTAGAGAGTCCTTGGTCTCTGACCCAGCGCTGAAATGCTAAGAAGCTTAGGGAAGAGGTATAAGGAAAAGGACTGGACAACCCTTGCGTGGATGACCAACCAACCAGACAAAAAGTTTGTTCCACAAAGAGTACTTCCACCTTTTGGACTTCCAAAAATGACGGCTTTAAGACACATCTTAATTAAAAACAGCATAAGAGAACTATTAGTATTCACAAGAGGAAACATATCATGGGGGGAAAGATGAAAATTCAATTAAATGGCAACATATTTTCCACTAACAGATTGTGTATTTACTAAAAATCAAAGCAGGTAAAATAAAATTATTTTAATAGAATTTGTCTAGTGTTTAACAATATAGTAATGCATTTCTAAAACACTACACACTACTATATTTTTAAAAAGTGGAACTCATTCTGAAAACTGTAGAAGTTTAACATGTTAATTTTCTAAAAATAAGTGCACACTGATAAGATCAAAAGTAATTTAAAAATTAAATCAGGGCAATGTAATGAAATACACAAAATATTGGTTTTAAAGCACAAAATAAAATTGGGTCCTGGATAAATAATGCAGAATAGATTGCCCTTACTAAATTTGTGTATGTTTCTTTTTCCTTCCCCATTGCAGTAATTCATATGGTTTCTACAGCTCGTAAAGGATGGGGATTTCTATTATTTTGTGCAATATTTCCAGTATTGCTTTATTTTTTAGAAAACTGATGATTTTTGTAGCTGTAAAGATTTTGTAATAGTTGAATGGAGAACAAAATTTAAAGATTTGTAAATTAAGCATTCTTTGAAAACTCTGAAATAGTAGTAAATAGGGTAAACCACAAACAGGATTCTCATTTTAGGAAGTTAGCCAAATAAAATATGTAACTAATTACTGTAAAATGCACAAATTCCTTTAGACAAATGAAGAGTAAAAGAGTCACTCTGATGTTTCAATTATGTAGATTTAAGAAGACATAATCTTTTATGTTTTGCCCATATTAAAACATATTTCCTAAAGTAATCTGATAATACAGAGGGACTTCTATTAGTATGAAAAATAGAGGGTTCTTTTATGTACATATATTTATCCTTGAGTAAAAGAAAGTATGTTCTATAATAAACATATATCCTGAATGTATTATGTATATGTAAATATGTATACATGTCCATAGAGAATCTTAAGAGACACTAAGAACTTAGTAAGCTTAATTATTAAGCTAATACTATTAATGTGATGCCATTTACTAGAAAACCTTAGGAATTCTAAGATCAAATAAGCTATGCCCATGCTGAAAGCAGATAAATAATTAAATAATAAAAAATTTAATAAGATTATCTAACTTTGAGTTTAAGGTGAACCTATCCCTGTTTCTGGACCAGCACACAATAAGGTATGCTTTGTAACATTTTTATACTTTTGCAAACACTTTAAAATGAACAGTCATGAACAGTCAATGTCAGTGAGCACCCAAATGATTTAAAATAGTGCAAAGGAAACTTTGGAGCCAATATTTTTACAATGAAGAATCAGATTTCCTATCAAAACTTTTGATGTGGATACACTTTGAAAACTTAATATAAGAAAAGATTTTATTTATAATCATTTGGTTTTTGTAGTTGTACATTTGTAGTATGAGTACCTAATATAATAATTAATTCAATATCTTCTGGGGTAGACTTTTTTGACCAGCCCAGATACATTTTAAATAATTTTTGAAAGTATCAAGTATATGTCAATCCCACAGTCTCTAAAGTGGTTTCCTCCCAGGTATCCAGGGAACACCTAAACTTTTTGGATCACTTCTCCCACCCTCTTCTCTAATGAAAACAAGCTAACTACTAATCTGCCCAAGAACTAGGAAAGGAATTTTTAGGTTTCCACCTTCCTATTTACACAGCTTGTCTTAAAGGAGTGAAATGTACCAGTCAGACATCAAGGTGACACAAGTCAGTTGTCCTTTATCTAAAATCCATCTATTATATATAAGAATTCCTAGGCATCATTAGAGACATAGGTGGGAAATTTCTCATGAACAGATGAAAAGGGAGGAGTTGCAAAATTGCAAAGAATTCCTTACATCTTAAATTTTTTTTCTCTTACATAATCAAAGAGTTGGTAATTGTTTCAATGTTGCTAACAATTCTCTGAGATATAAAGTATTTTGCAGGTTAAAAATATCACACACTAAGTTTCATCATTGTTAATAGACTCCTATCTCACGTATAAAACCAGAACTAATTTCTAATGGAAAACATGGGGTCCTATTCAGAGAAAGTAATGTCCATTTGCTCATTCCGTTCATTAGACCATACTTGGTATGTTGGGCTCAGTTCTGACTGCTCTGTTTTTAGGAGACACATTCACAAATGAAACACATGCTCAGAATAGTCAGGACTCCACGGCAGAGTTATATGAAAGTCTGGGGACAGTCAGCCTGGAGGAGAGTAGCCTTTCCCTCATCACTGTTTCTGAAACTTCTGAAGAGCTGTTTTACAGGAGCAGTCTGGGCTGTTGTTGCTCCTGAGAGCCTATCCAAGACAGTGGTTAGCTGTTATAGAAGGCAAATTCTCACTATAAGGACAGGCATCCAAGTAATTAGAGCTGTCCAACATGGGTCTGTCCACCTGACAAGGTGACCTATCCATCATCAGAAATACTCTTTCAAAGACTATGGCAGAGAGCCTCATTTTGTGTAGTCACATTAGATGTGTCTCTTCCAAGAGCCTGGGATTCTCTTGCCTAATTCCTCTTTTGCTATCTTATTTTTGATGGCTTGTCTGTCTATCCATTTTCTCTTGCTAGGTTTCCCTGTGGTGTCTGCTAGTGACGCTGGTGGTCCTTTTCATAATGACGGGCACGATGCTAGGACCTGAACTGCTGGCAAGTATTCCTGCAACTGTTTACGTGGTAGCAATTTTTATGCCTTTGGCAGGCTATGCCTCAGGCTATGGCTTGGCTGCTCTCTTTCGTCTTCCACCCAACTGCAAGAGGACTGTATGCCTGGAAACAGGTAGTCAGAATGTGCAGCTCTGTACCGCCATTCTGAAACTAGCCTTTCCACCACGACTCATAGGAAATATGTACATGTTTCCCTTGCTTTATGCCCTTTTCCAGTCTGCAGAGGCAGGGATTTTTGTTTTAATATATAAAATGTACGGAGGTGAAATAGTGTACAAACAAGATCCTCTAGATGAAGATACAGATATTTCCTATGTGAGACGAAAAGATGAGGATATGGCAGACCCTTCCTATGGCGCAATGCAAATAGATAATTTAATAATGATGGAAACCACTCAGACTTCTCTCTAAACATGGAGATACACAGGAGCTTCTGTCTTGCTAAACTACAGCTTCATATTTATTGTCTCTGGTAGTGTTCATGGTTTACGTAAAGGATAACAATTGGTTCACATTATCATCATGTAACAGTTATGATCTTCCATTCTAGGGGGTGCATTGTAGCAACCAAGTGTTTTCGCAAATAAATCAATGTCAAAATATAACTTGCACCTGGGGCTGCTGACCTGAAGCCTGAACAAATGTGTTTCTCGGTTTTCACTATTACCAATTTCTATGACTGTTTCAAATATGTAAACTCTTAGAAAACAGGGTCTTGGAAATGTAGAATTCTGGTGCGCTATCTTATATGAGTAAAAACAAGCTATATTTGTAGAGCATAACAGTTTAATGTAACTTGTAAAAGAAAATGTGTGCTTGCTCATTTTATGAATACCTGATGATGTTGAATTTTAACCTGTACTCAGAAAAAGCACCAAACAGTCCAATTAAACAGTGGAATATAGTTTTTTATTGTCAAACTTGTATCAAATCTGAAGAAAACAAATACAGTAATGTACTTGATTATTTGGTATCTATTAGTAATGAACAGCCAACATGTTTCTAGCAGACAAGGCACTTTCTTTTCAACTGGAGGCTTGATTTGGTCTTGGGCATTTATGTGAACACACCTCAAGTCAATTTATCATTTGGAGGGATGATTTGGTTAGGAAAATTTCTAGAACTACTTTCCACCCCAGAGACGACCAATAGTAATCAGTACCTCGTGACAGTCAACAGTACCTCGTGGTTTCCATTTGCGGTGGGGGCGGGGAGGACCTGCTCCAGCGGAGGAAACAGTTAGCCGAGGTACGGATGCCAGGGCTTTCTCTCTACACCCACGGAAGGGTTCGGTGGGTAGACTTCTCAGAACAGCTCTCGCAGAGACAATTAAATAACCTATAATCTGAGAACACAAGTAACAGGTCCCAAACAGTCCCCAAACCTTCGCGTTTTTGCTCACTAACGAGAGGCGCCCAGCTTCGCTGCAGCTTCCCTGGCGGCGCAGACACCTGGATAATCAAGGTATGGGGCCCACCTGGCTCAACCAGTACGGGTGATAGTTCTCCCTCGTTGGTATCTTCTTCACCTCGGGCAAATTCACTTAGAAATCAGTTCTCGCATCGCAAAGGCCGCGATGGCCTTTTGTCCAGATCATCGAAGGGGATTTGTGCCGACCTTCGTGTGTGGAAATTTTCCTCACACGGAAAGGCCTCGGCGGGGGCGCGAGACACCAGCCACGGTCGGACGTGCGCGGCGGGCGGGCGGCGCAGCGCGGGGAGCGGCGGCGGAGCGGGCTCCGGGCCGCCTATTTAGGGCGTGGCGGCGGCAAGGGGCTGCTGGGCTGCGCTTATGGCTGCCCTGGGGGACGCGGCGCTGGGCCGTCCCAGGTACTCGGCGTGCGTCCCTTACTCAATCCCGTATCCCTGTCCGCCGGCCGCCAAGGGCAAGGGCGCGGCGGGCGGGGGCTGCCCTCCCGCCGCCGCCTCCTCGTCTTCCTCTGCCGGGGCGGCCTCGTCGTCTTTCCCGGGCTATGCGCAGCTGACGGCCGCCGAGTACTTCGACAGCTACCAGCGGGCGCAGCTCATGGCGCTCCTGTCGCAGGTGAGCCCGGGCTTCGCCCCGCGGCCGCGCAGGGCCAGCAGCCGCGACGTGGCCGTGCAGGTGAACCCGCGCCGCGACGTCTCGGTGCAGTGCTCGCTGGGGCGGCGCACGCTGCTGCGCAGGGCCCGCCGCTCCGGCCCCGAGGGCTCGGCAGGCGCGGGCGGCGGCGGCTCGGCGTCCCCGCAGCCGGCCCGCCGGGGCCCGGAGCAGGGCAGCCCCCCGCGCGGCGCCCCGCGGCCCGTGCGCTTCCCGCGCACCGTTGCCGTGTACTCGCCGGTGGCCTGCCGCCGCCTCACCACCTACCTGGAAGGGGCCGAGCCCGCGACCGGCGAGCAGAGGTCCGGGGCGCCGGAGGGAGAGCGAGGGCCACCACCCCCGCAGCCCCGAGGCCCCGAGGAGGGAGACATGCTGGCGAGGAGGGCGCCCCAACGGCTGCTGTCCGAGGAGGACGAGGACGAGGAGAAGGAGGAGGAGGAGGACGAGGCCCAGGCCGCCGTGCTGGCGAGCTGGGAGCCGGTCGACGGGCCGGGGCTGCAGCCGCGGGGGGCTCGGGGCGGTGAGGCGGCCCAGGGGCGCGCGCCCGGGCGTGCAGAGCATCCCCCGCCGGCGGGGAGGACCCAGGACGCCGCGGGCGAGAGGTTGTCGCCGCGGAGCCCAGAGCCGGGCAAGGAGCGCCTGCGCTTCCAGGTGAGGCCAGAGGTGGTTAGGGGACCTGGCCCGCAGCGCAGGGAAGCCCCGGAGCTGTGGGTCTCCTCCCGGTTCCCGTCTCTGCCCTCGCCTGTGGCTGCCCCGGAGGCGCCGGGCAGCATTAGGCACGCTGCCCGTCTGTGTGCCTTTCCGCAGACGGTAGCCTTTCTTCAACAGTAGGATTCAGTGAGCAAAGCCTGGTGGTTTGCAGTGATTGTAAAACACTGGCAGGCGCCGGAGACGCCCTTTAACACTTATTTCGAGCCTGTTTACCTTATAAAACTGACCGTGGGTACGTAGTACAGGGTTGATTCTGCACTTACTTGGATGATCTAGTCTTAGTATTCAGCAGGGCATCAGAAAGTGAATTTGCAGGCAGGAGAGTTGATTCCCAAGGATCCCACTCACATTTCTGAATTAAGTATGGTAAAAAGCCCTAACAGTTTACTACCCGGGTCCTCATCAGCTCTACACTGATAATTGCCTGAATTTCTAAAACTTCTAACAGAAGCGAGAGCTACTTAAATGCCTCTCTTAGGATCTCTCCTTGCTCCTGAAAAGCACCCCTATTCAGAAACTTAATATTGGTAAAGCATTGAGGCTGTGTGTGTTGCTGTCCGAAGTGCATCAGGCTTGGAGGGTCAGTTCACACTGGCTGACCCATCAAGGGCTGGAGGATCCTGAAGGACACTGAGAAGTGGTAGGAGGCTCAAAGGAGTCCTATGGGGTCTCTTCCACAGCACCCTTTTGACCCCAGAGTTGAAGGGGGTGGGAAGGAAAGAAAGAATCAAGACGTTATATAACAGCTAGGTGATGTCTACATCATGTGATATTAAGTCATAACCTTCCTGGACTTCAGTTTACTCACCTGTGATATTGCCCTCTGTGCTCTCTACAGTTCCTGCCAGTTCTAAAGGCCTAAATCCAAAAACTTACAACTTTTTCACTAGTAAAGAAAAGCTGAAGAATAAGGCAGAGCTACTTTAGTTCATGTCAAATATGAATTATGGTTTATGCTCAGTTTAGATTCCTAGTACTACTGTTTGGAAATTGAACTAGCAGTGTAGAGAACTTAATTTTGGGTGAACATCTTAAAATGTTTTAGGGTGCAATCTATTCCTTTTCTTCAGCTTAACAACTTCCATATGTGTGTGTTCTAAAATCAAACCCGGATCCTACAGAGAAAAGGCCTCCCTAGAGAATCTCAAAGTTCAAAGAACCCTAGATGCTGGGCATTTCCCTTGCTTATCTGAGGGAAGCCATGTATTTAGTAATTTGCTTTATGAACCAAGCTAATCTGGCATATAGACTTTCTTGGGCCCATGCTTGTTTATCTGCTTAAGCCATTAGCTTATCTAGTTATTACATTCTAGAGGCTAATATGAACCTGGTCCTACTTTCCTCTGTGATGTGGGATGAAGTTGATAATTTTAAGTATCAAATAGATCCTTCCCAGCTTCTGAAATGGATAATTCAAATGTCATGTTGGTTAAACTCCGATGTCCTTTTGTTCAGTTCTTAGAGCAGAAGTATGGCTATTATCACTGCAAGGACTGCAAAATCCGGTGGGAAAGTGCCTACGTGTGGTGTGTGCAGGGCACCAACAAGGTGAGAAGTACCATGGAACCGATGTCTTTTTGACACCGGGGCCAGAGGGCTGTGCTTTAAGTGTTTCCTCTCTCATCACAGGTTTACTTTAAGCAGTTTTGCAGAACTTGTCAGAAGTCTTATAACCCCTACCGAGTGGAGGATATCACCTGTCAAGTAAATCGGATGTTTGCATGTCATGTCTGAACTGGGTAGTGGTGGCGAGGGTCTTGGTGTCGTTTCTTGAATATATTTCCTAACAGAGCCTAGGTTCCCAGTGCCCTCAGGTTCTTGACTGATTTTTGGTAGTAGTCAGAAATAACTCCACTGGGCAACAGGACTGTGGCGACAGTTTCCTTCTGCCCTTGCAAATCTTGATCATGTTAATGGCTTTAGAGACTTACCTCACTTGCAATACAGAAAAATGTTTGCTTTACCTAGCATTCAGTCTAGTGTAAGAGAAAGAAAACTGAGAAATAGAATACCCTTCTACTACCATGAGGTGGTAAAGGTCACCTGTTCTGCCCTGATGCTTTTATGAAGCAGACACCCAAGTTAAAGTATTTAGTATGAGCATGGAGTTTAAAAGTTTCTTGCCTGAGAGCTTGCAAAAGATTTGTTTTAAAGTAAACCTAAGTAGCCTAACTTTATGGGTTTGACTGGTAAGATACTGCTTCTTTACTATTAAGCACTGCCCTGTTGTCTAACTAAAGTCACCCATCACCACACATGGAGCCTGACTTGCCAGTTCAGGCGGCCTAGTCAGTGCACTTGACTTGGAAGCATGAACATCTTGGGGTGGGTGGAGAGAAACAAAGCAAGAACAGCTGTTTAGATTCACTTATTTAGCTCATGGCAGAGTAGGGTAAGGTTCTAAATATGCCTTCACCACTCTGCTCCTGGCTCAGAGCTGCTGCTTGGCCTCATGCCTCAGCTTGAAGCCACTTACAGCAGGTGGCAAGGTGAAGACAGCCATGACCCAGGCCGGCCCTAGGGCTTGCTACCAGTCATACCCTCATACCTTAGGGGAGGGGACCAGGAAAGCTGCTTGCTTGTTCTCTACCCTTCAAGTGCAGGAAAAGACTTCCTTTTCAACAATCGTATTTCAAAAGAAACTTCACAATTCAGAACTGAATCCTGCATGACATGGGACTGTGACTGCCTGTTAAACTCTCTTTATTCCTAACCCTGTGACTGCCAGAAGGGCTGTGGACAGAACAGGACCAGCACAGGGCCGTGCCTTAGAGTGCGTTCAGTAAATATTTGAAAGGACAAGAAAAATAAGTTGGAAGTGCTAGTAATTACCAAGGGTTTATCTTCTGTATGTGCCTCTCATTTTGATTTTTCAGAGCTGTAAACAGACTAGATGCTCCTGCCCAGTAAAACTTCGCCATGTTGACCCTAAGAGGCCCCATCGTCAGGACTTGTGTGGGAGATGCAAAGGCAAACGCCTGTCGTGTGACAGCACTTTCAGCTTCAAATATATCATTTAAGTGGATGTTTAAAAAAAAATTCCTGGTGGATATGTGCTAGTGGAGCAGACGAATTAGCTTTTTTCATGCCCTTCCTCTCCCTTCTCAAAATATTTCATGGAAGGCTGTACTTTTGACAAAGCCTTTAAATAAAAGTATTGCAAAACAATTGATAAATCGCCTAAAACCTTATGTTTTTGAAAAGTCCAGGAGAGCTTGTGTTGTGCTTGCTGCTTTACCTTATTTAATATTCATTAGAAGGGCTCAGAGGTGTGGGGTTTATGGCTTATGTGGGTCTTTTGGACTGGAGCTTACAAATAAGTTATTGATTAACAAACCATCTAATAACCAAAATAAGCTTTCTTCTGGGGAAGGAGGAGGCAGAGACCTGCTTGGTGTATGAGGGGACTGTTGGGGATAACCAGAGTCAGAACCCTGAGTGGCTGGCTAGCTTGGGGGGGGGGAAGCTTCAGTGCCACTGGTGCCCTCAGTTTAGTAAGCAGTAAAGTCCTTGGCAGGGGAAAGGCTGTGAACTAAGCTTGTTCAGTCACGGTTTCATAGATGGGGACTGGAACAGGGTGGCTCAGGCAGCTTTTAGATGTTAGCTTCATCAAATGATAAGGTTTCCTGAATGTCCTTGAAGAGTTCAAGTTAGTTGGACTGAGACAACTTGAGCTTTTGTTTTTATCGGCTTGCAGTTCTAGACCTGGAAGCGGTGTTTTGCACCATGTACCAGGGATTCTCATCCTCACTGACCCTTCAGAGAACTCTGAAACCCTGCTCCGAGGGCTCTCCTAAGTAGGGATGACACTTCTTTAGTTTTAGGGGATTCTGATGAAACTGGAGTCGAAGCCTGTTGGTTTAACGGTTATAGAAACCACCTAGCTGCAACCAGGTGCTAATTAGGCCTCCTAATTTTCTAATCCTCCTGTTTAAGGTTAACCTTTACTCCCATAGAGGGACCATACAAATAACATCTTGGATGCTTGTGCATAGACAAATATGAGAAATAACAGAACCTGAAAAGAGTTCAAGGCATCTAGAACCCTTAGAGCAAAATGGAAAGGCCCTTCTGCAAACATATGGACTTGTAAAAATGCAGATTCCTAGGCTCCTCTCCCCACTGAATCACTATTTGGAGGTTAAGCATTTATAAAGACCCTGGATGTTGCTTATGGAATTGAAGTGTGAAAACCACCAGTTGAGTCAGCCTTGCACTTACTACAGAAAAACGCAGATAATGGCCTCTGCCCTAATAGTTTCCAGGTTAGTGGGTCATTATTTTCTGCATTAAAAAACGGTAGAATGGAAGTTCTGCCATGTGATTGGTATGAAAGAGTAATCTAAGTGCCTGTAATAAATAGGGGATCAGGCTTAGAGAAGTCAGTAAAACTTTGCCTAACAAATGATATTGCAGCTGACCTCAAGTTTGGATGAATTTAATTGGGCAAAGAAGGAAAGGAGAAATTTTCCAGACTAAGGTAACATGTACAAAGGCCCAGTGGTTGAGTACTCTGGAGGACAGGGAAGGGCATGTTGACAGGTGAGACTGGAAGGCCCAGATTGGGAGGACTTTTTAGACCTCACTCCAGAGGCCTGGTCTTTGTCATCAGTTCACCAAAAAGTTTTAAAGCTGTGGTGGGTACAGTGACATTTCACCTTTAAAAAGAAATGGTCATTTTGGCTGAACAGTGGATGCCTGTAAGCCAGGAAGGAGACTTGTGAAGATCAAATGAAATGGTGTTGGGGTCAAAGGGAGAGGAACAAGAACTCTAGGGATGGGTGAAAGTGATGTTCTGTTCTAACCCTGTTGCCTCTGATGTGGTTGAGGGTAGAGAGATGGAAGGAAATTCATTGGATTAATGTAGTATGCAAGTGGCACATACTGCGCAGTCAGAACACTTTTTGAATGAACCAGGGAATAGAAATAGACATGTAGTGTATCCTGAGGCTATTAATGTGGGCAGTTTTAATATTGTTCACCACTTTCCTACTAGAGCAGCTACTCTCTCAAGAGAGGAGGGCAAGGTCGGAGCTGTGGCAGGCGGTCAGGCACTGGACAGAGCAGTGCCCTTCTGTTGTAAGGGTGGTGGTAACAGCAGTGGGAAGGCACTGTCACTGTGGATGAGCACAATTAATAAAGTGTGATTTTTATTTTTTGAACAAGATTGAGAGGCTAGAAATATCTCTGGGTGACAAGTACCTCTAGTTTTCAGCATGTTCCCTGTTGCTAAAGTGACAGTGGCTTACTTTGAAAATTAATAAAATGCCATAACGTAGTTATAGTTACACTGATTCTGGTACCTTCTTTTCTTTCACTTAGGTTATGCTGGTGTGGTATATGAGCTGTTCTTATGAACGAGGGAAGCTTACTCTGGCTTTGGTGAGTTTGTTTCATGAGAATGTTTATCCTAGACCTATGGTAGTTTGCACTACACCCTCTATTTTATATGAGTAGATGTAGAAAATATTTTCTAAATTGTGTAAAAAAATTGTATGGCTCTTTTCAAAGCAGCATGAAAAACTGCCAGATTTCTTCTCTTGGTGGTGGTGTTCTATGAACTTACTACTTAAAATAATGAATTTAGTGAGCAAAAGGGAAAGGCTGAGCAAAAATTGGGCTCTGATTGGAAGTAAAGGTGTTTAATAAACATTTGATATGTTTTGTTAAATGTAAACTTTGGAGTTCAGAGGACGAGTAGCAGAGAAGTTCAGGTTTTAGGAAAATCCAACTGCAGGACACTATTAATCCTGCATTTGCATCTTGCTTTCTGAAGGTGTATTCATTTTCATTACATTTTTAATAAACTTAGTTACATGTAAATGAATATGAAATTTCAATGGTTTGAAAGGTAAGGTTTGGTAATTGGTTAAATTGACTAATTTTGTTCTCAGAAAAATTTAAGAATAATGAAGGTAATATCTGAAAAGTTTCTAAATGATTACACATTGTAATCATCCTTTCTCAAAACACAACACAAACCGACAGCTACAATGCTTTTTATTTTAACAAAAAGGATATATAAGGAAGGTGAGTTAAATAGGAGACGGTAATAGAGGATGTAAAGTGTGGTGTGTCACTGGACACCATCCCTCTCTTCCTGCCCCACACCCAGTTATTAAATAATTTAAAGGACACCATTTACAGTACCAGAACACCATCAAAATAATTGTTTTTTATCAGGGTCAAAAAATACAGTGATTCTGAATGTGCCTTGACCAGTTATGGAACTTTACAGGTAATATAACTATACTTAGCAGTCCAACAGGGTGCACAGTGCCTTCAATTAGTGCACTTGAGCATAATTACATTTCTGGCAGGGTCCACACCCCCAAGAAAAGGCAAAGCCAAGCATTTCATCTCTACATTCTAAACCCTGGAATCACAGAGCCCAGTTTAAAAGAAGAGTCACAGTGGATAAGAGATGCATATACAAAAATACAAGGTGTTCCCTTCAGATCAGAGGAATTGTGGGACTACATTCATTTCTTTTACAAAATACTATTTAAGAAAGGACTGCGAATCCAGTTCATGCTCTGCTGCGGGCTTAGACGGTGAGTGAGTATGCTGCATGTTTTGGTAGTCAGTCTTCAGGCTTCTTTTCATTTTCCCCCAGAGCCCCAGATTCCTTTAGGGTGAAACACATTGAGGCTTGAATAAACACATAAAAAATGCATTCACATCTCTCTTCTTGAATTCTGCAGACTTCAGAGCCTGTAAGTCATGTATCTACCATCAATGACCACAACTTTTCTTTAGCTTTGCACAGCTGTTCTTGTATAACAGTGCATTGCACAAATGTACAAGAAGATACTGGTTTAAATCTATAAAGTTTCTATACTTACTATGGAATAAAATAAGTTAACTTTCCTAATGAGAATAGCTGACGGGCAGCATACATCTTTATTTTACATTTTAAAGTCTCTGCAGGCATCTACTTTGGTTAGTTATCAACAATCGTAACATAAGCACTGATCAGAGAACTGAGCAGCATTCCAATAACGTTAACAGATATATTATTTCTTTTCGAAATACTGGGAAAGACCAGTTTTAAAATATTATTAAAATGTTCTAACATTTACACACTATGAAGAGTTAGATCTAATAAAATAAAATTTCTTCAAAAATAATCTTGCAGTGCTCTTTTAGGCATGCTCTGAAACGTTATCACCAAACATCCATACCTTGAAAATATGACTATCACAGATTCACACATCCCAGCTCACACACACACAATTCCTTATACAGACTAAAAAACAAAACACCCACACCCTATCCCACATGTTGAAAAAAATCAATGTTTTCTGCAAATTAAATCCTTCTGTGTAGAGCTATCCGACTAGACATTCTGCATGTAGATGATGAAGCATCAGTCGTCGGTTATGACTGCTGGAAATCCAAGCAGCTTTGCAGGTTTTCAGCTAAAATGAACCAGCATTGATTTCAGCCTCATGACACCTGCTTTCCAATGTCTCAGTATTAGAGGCCATTATTGCAAACATTCTTAGAATTCTTTCTCCAGAAAGTAATGTATTTGTATGCATCACTTTTAGCCCTTTTCTTTTCACATAGGTTAATTAAAAAACTCCTTCTTCGTACAGTTACTGTGGGAGGTATTGGCAGCTGTCCAACAGTTACACTTTTTTCCCTTCTGATCTTTTAGTCTGACATTCTTTTTTACCTGGGTAAGTGTGAAATTAGTTACACTATGGTCGTGAATGCTGCCAGAAAAAGGTATCAGTGAATTGCAAGGGTTCATAAAAGGTGCTTGTTAATATTCTTAATCTTCAGTTTAGTTTCTTTCCTAAATGCCTGAAGTTTCTCAGAATCCAGTGCTCACCAAATTTCCAATTGGTTTGGCTTGTGCTAGAAGTTGGTATGATTGCACCATGCGTAGAGACTCTCTTATTTCCAGATTAAGTTCCATCAATTTGTAGTTGGCTTCTGACATGTCCAGGTCAGAGCCTATAATCGCAAAGCTTCCTGTCTGGCCCAGCGTCTGGTGATGGAAATATATGTGTAACAGCGTCTGCACAGGGTCATCTTCACAACTGCCAAAGATATCACTGGGCCAGAGAGACCTGAAAATACATGGTACTTTTAAGTCCTGAGGCTCATTCAAGCACTTACTGTAATTAACTGTGTTTTAAGTTAATTCTTATAACAACAAAATTTCCTTGTGAATCACTGAGGATGTTTTAATATTTGAAAAAATATAGTAATGAAAGTAATAATGAAAATTTAAAATCAGGGTTATTTCAGTGGTTACTGTAGAAAACAACAGTCATGCTTTCCAAATTGTACAAAGATGTGATCCTGCAACATCAAATGGAAAACCAGACCCCAGTCATTGTAAACCCCCAGTCTAGGTATAAAGGCAGCACCTTTAAATCTCTTCA